TGATCAATTGTTCTCACTGTCCACTGAAGGTAGGACAAGAAGTAATTGGCTTAATCTGCAGCAAGGGAGATAGTTAGATATTGGGAAAAGCTAATGATCCAACTAGCAGACCAAATTTGGTGATGAATCCTGGTCAGATGCCACCTGAGGCATGTTGTGCATACACTAAGATGACGACTTCACTATCCGGGTAGTTAAATTCTGGAATAGGCTTCCAAGGGAGGTTGTTGAATTCCCATCATCCTGGAGGTTTTGAAGAATACCTGCCAGGGATGGTCTAACAGTGGCGTAGCCAGCTCCTAAGAGGAGGAGGAGCAAACATAAAAAAGGCGCCCCCCTCCTTGGTTCCTCCTCTGGCCACGCCCCCCTTGGCTCCTCCTCCGGCTGGCTCCTCCAGCCGCACTGCCCCTCCCCCCCAATGGCTCCTCTGGCCCTCCTGTTCCACCCCTGCGGCCCCACCTCCTTGCTCCTCTGGCCACGGCTGCCAGCCACCATGCTGCGCCCCCCTCTCCGCTTCTTTGGCTGGCTGCGCCTGCTGTCTCCCCCGCCGTCCCCCCTCCTCTAGCAGCGTGCCCGCCTGCCAGCCGTATTGCGGGCCGCCAGCCTGCGCCCCCCTCCCCCCCACTCCTCCGGCTGTGGCTGCCTGCGGGCCGCATACCGCGCCCCCCCCCCGTGCGCCCAGCCCGCTGCCCCCCCCTCGCTCCTCTGTCCGCCTTTGGAAAGGCACCGCTTTTGGCAAATTTGCTGAGGGGAAGCGGCGGCTTCCCAGGTCTAGATTTACTTGATCCTGCCTCCATGGGGAGGACTTGATGTCTCGAGGTCCCTTCCCACCTTATGTTTCTAGGGTTCTAAATTTAATGGCCTGTGATATACAGGTCAAACAAGATGACCTAATGGTCCCTTCTGGCTTTAAACTTGTCCCTCCCTTTGACTAAAGGAGTATGTTGGCCATTAATTGCTAGTGTATGCAACTTAATTTTTAATTGTAATTTTTGGACCCACTCCCAGGTGCTGTTTATTCCATATTAAAGTAGTGATTCATTTGCATCTAGCTCAGATTTTGTCACCTTCCCATCCTTATCCAGGCTTTTTTGTTAAGATTAGATTATTGCAATGCCCTCTACATGAGGGTGTACTAGAGCTGGTTGGAAAATTTCTGACTAAACCATTTTATCAGAAAATGCCAATTTGTTGAATCCGAAGTATTTCAGGGAAACATCACAGGGTACAGTGAACTTTTGGCAGATCAGTGTCAGGGTTCCAGTAGACACCTGCCAACTTGCTGGGGAACCCAATCTTCCAGGGTCTATGGCTCTGGGAAAGTCCCACTGTATGAGATTCCAGTTCAGGGAGCCAGCTGGCCCAAGAGTCTGCAAGTCCTGAGATCCCCAGCCCAGGACAGTCTGCATGGCAGGGCTGCCCCTATCCCTGGTAGCTCCAGTAGTTGTTGAGTGAAATTGATGTCAGTTTTACCTCTGCTAATAGCGTTATGAAACTGACAAGAATGTCATTTTCACTCAGCAGCCATCAGGATCTTGGGCAGCAAACTTGGTTTTGTAAGCACAACCTGTCTGTGTTTCCAAAATTACTTTTTTGGGGGGCAGGGAAGAGAGATTTCTGGTTCATGTGAAATGTTTGAAAAATGTGGATCTATTCTGATTTGGACCAAATCAGCAACATTATCCATGAACTAGAAATCCCACCTTTTGGCCAGCTCTGTGTTACACCTTAAAATCAACTGGAGACTGAAGCTGTTGCAGAACACCGTGGCTTACTTACTGAGGGGGCGGGGGGAGAAATACCAGCATTGCCTTAGGATCTGCAATGGCTGCCTGTTGGTGTCTGGGTGGAATTTTAGGGCTTGGTTATGACCTGCAAAGCCCTGAATGGCCCAGGACAAGCCTACTGGAGGGATCAAACATCCCCCTGTGCCATTCTGCCACAGCTGTGGGCAGCAGGGGAACTGAAGCTCACTATGAAAGAGGGCGGGCAAAGGCTCAACCTGTGGCACTCTTCCCCTCATCCAAAATAGCCCAAATTTGATGACTTTCCAGGCAAGCTGCAAAAGATACCTGTTTGAGCAGGTTTTTAGAGAAGATTAAGCTATGTTTTCTAGCTGATGACGGGGTTGCTGGGTGGCTGGCTGAGCTCATGTGGAAGTGATGATTTTAAAGATGCTGTAGCTTACTATTTCTTGTATACTTAATTGTGAGAGCACCTCGATTAACTTTATTTTCAATCAAGGTAGACCGTGACCTAAAAAGGACGATGTTTCTATATTGAGAGAAGCAAGGACCGTAGATGTGATAGTACAGCCCTATGACTTTGGACTGTGTAGAAACTAGAGGATCAAGATGGGTCAGACTTTATACTACAACAACTCACGCATGCAGAGGAAGTAGCATTGCCCATAAGACAGATGGCACTTTCCTCTGGCCCAATGTTATTGTAGTGCTTCTGGTAGCAGCATAGCATCAGTCTTTTAATGAGGCCTCCAGCTGAAGGACCCAACCCCATATTCTCATTAAAGATCCCACAAGGACTAGTCCTGTTTTTATTTTTTGCCAGATTCCAGTGTAATTAGTCACTAGGTATAAGAAGTCACAGCCATAAGAATTCAGTAAATGAAATTCTTCACTTTCCATTCTCATTTTAGGGTTAGTATATGCTGTTAAGTAGATGCCATCTTCCACCCTAGCAAAGCCTACATTTGAGTGGTAAATGATGCAATTGTTACAGTACCTATAGCTTGTACAGTATGTTTGGTAATTAAAGGTGCTATGTTAGTATATATAAATACTAGGGTTTTCCTATCTTACAGTGAGGCTCCAAGACTTAAGAGGGGAGCAGGTTAATATACCACCTATGTCCTCTTAGCCAATCGCTGTTATATGACTGACTGGGAAAAAAAAGTCATTATGAGAGACCCAAGTAGCAATGGGAATATTGTACTCTACGATTGCAGCAATAATTAAATGCTTCCTACGTTTAAAAGCTTAATGAGGAATTTCAAAAGATGTTTGTCATAGAATAAGGAGGATTCCTTTGCCACTAGTGAGTCCTCTTCTGAAAAGCACTTGACTGCCAAGAAGAGAGAGGAGCTTATACCACATGCAGCGCCTTTGATAGAGACCCAGTTTGTTTTGTTTTAGATTTGTTTGAACATCGCAAAATACACAGCCTAAAGCATTAGAGAAGACTTGACTGCAGAATTCAGTAGGGTTTATTCTACAAATACTTTGAATCAATGTCAGTGATACAAGTTGTACGAATTTCCTTTAAAAATACAAGTCAGTATAAAAGATTCCAATTAGCATATAATGCAAGGTAGTGAATGATTCAGTTTCAAAACGGTTAAGGAATTATCAGGTCTTTTTTTGGACCATGCTACAAAAGTATTGAAATCAATGCTGGCAGGAGACAAAAAAGGAGAAAGGTACCTAAAGGAAGGAAGTATCAGAGGGGTAGCCGTGTTAGTCTGGATCTGTAAAGGCAGCAAAGAGTCCTGGGGCACCTTATAGACTAACAGACATATTGGAGCATGAGCTTCGTGGGTGAATCCCCACTTCTTCGGATGCAAGTTGCATCCGAAGAAGTGGGTATTCACCCACGACAGCTCATGCTCCAATATGTCTGTTAGTCTATAAGGTGCCACAGGACTCTTTGCTGCCTAAAGGAAGGAGTATTTCAATTTGTAGGAGAGAAAGACTGCCTCCCTTACTTTAGGAGGGGCCTGCATCTTTTATTGCCAAAATATTTTAAAGAGCAATATGCGAAGTGCATAGCAGCCTAGCTCAAATTGGACAGAACTGCTGCTTTCAGCATTTCTTCACAGCACACGTTCTATTAATCCATGACACATTAGGTAGCAACAAGCTCCCTGGTATCTATGTAAACCTAAGGACCTGTGAAGAGGGAACATCTCCCTCCCTAAACATTTTGCCCAACAACATTGCCAGGAGTGGTTAATGCTGTTGCTTCAGCCTAAATGTCACTTAATTTGATGTTCAAAACCCTACCTTTGTAATGTTAAACCAGTGTGATTGCTTAAAAAAAAATTCAGTGCAATCTTGCTTAAGTTTATCATAGTTTCAGGGGAAATTAGAATATAACTATCAATTTTCCTCATTCCTAGTCTGATGAAAGCTTTTCCACTGAGAATTGTACTATAGTTTAGAAAAAGCCACTTACTGTTTCTTTATTTTGGAGCACGCTGCTATTTTTGTGGCTATTTAAAACAGTTAGATTTATGACACTGATAGGTGCCCAATGTTAAACACAACTATTGTGGGTCAACGTCTCCCAGGTATGAGTCTATTAACATCCATTGCAATGAGAGCAGGGATGAATCAGGCTTACTGTTCGTTCCTGGAGAAGTAGGTTACTCTGTTTACACACAGACAGTAGGACCATATACTACCAGAGCGCACACATTGCATTTTTAGCAAGCTGGCTCCTCCCACCTCTTCCTCTTACTATACTTTTCACCATGTAAGGTTAGAAAAACTGTTCCTCTTACTAAACCCAGCAGTCTGTGTGGTAGCAGACCCATATTAGTTACCACAGAGCAGATAACATGCACCTATCTGCAAGGGCTAGGTTAACAATGCATTATTACATTTCTAAACAAGGCTTCATCAGTGCAGACAGGGACAGAAATTCTGATTGTACCAAAAACCTGATCAGACTATGCAATCCCCCCAAAATTGCATACAGTAAGCATGTAGCTTACATACTTTACTCAATGAGAAAATCCTCCTCTCCTCCAAAGGGAGCAGCAGTAGAGCATGGACACCACAGAGTTTCTGCTACTGTGTGTGTGTGTGTGTACACACTCACTCTCTGTCAGGATTAGGTGCCATCCCCTTACTGACAACATACGGTGGGGTTTAAATACCATTCCAATGCTCAGTCTCTCTAAGGTAAGCCATTCTGGAGGCTGATTAAATGGCTGTCTGCTCTTAAATACGTACTGTCGTTCTGAGTTGTCTCAGTGTATTAAATGTATCCTAATTCTCTAACAGTCACATTTAACCCAAGTCAAAAACTCAGTAGCCCATACCATGGGCCCTGTTAATGATCAAAATGAAACAATGAAATACAGTGTGTCATTACGGCATCTACTAATATAGAATAGGTTTACTTTGTCTCTAAGTCAAATATTTAATACAAGACAGGTAGGTCTTATGATCAACTCACAGTTTATCTATTTGGAACAAAGTATGGCACAGATTCCAGACATCTCTCAGGAGCTTGTGTATTCACACACTTTTCCCTCTTTTGCAATGATTATCAATTCGCCAAAAATAGTGTAACAGTCAACAAAGAAGAGTGGAGAAAAACAGATTTAGGAGAAATCTTTCTCTTCTAGGAGGTGAAAGTAAGTGACTTTTCTTCTAGTTCTTTAGTAAGAAACTTTATTTTAGAAAATGCATTCTCTCCTTCTCAAAACCTTAAAAAAAATTGCAATAGCAACCCTTGCATTCAAAGGAAAACATGCAAACTTGATGGCTGAAAATATTCTGCATAAAAATCCAAGACACGAGGCAAAAGTGTGCCCTCCCCCACTCGTGCCTTTAGGGACTCCAAACCATAAACAGCTTTCAGTGCAATGTCTGTTACTTCCAGTTTGTGGGGAAACATATGGCCGAAGCTTGTCTTCTGATAGCTAATCTTGTCAGATGTTTGAAGCAAAACCAGTCTCAGCTATATTTAAAATGTCATTGTTAACCTCTGTTTCAATAAGTACAAACAGAATTCAATAAAATGCCAGAATCCAGTGAAGAAAAATGTTAAGTTCTACCCTGTGCCATACACGTTTTAAAAAAATTAGACAAACAGTTTCAGATTTTATTAATACACCCTTTTTAAAGTTTATTTCTGAAAGCAGCTCTTTCGCAAATCAAAAGCAGTTCCTGAGTAACTGCAGTAAACAGCGTCTTAAATATGTTGGGTTTTTTTGCCTCTCAGCTCTTCCGTTTTGGTTCTTACTTAATTTTTCCCTAGTTTCAAGTTTAATCACAGGTCCTTTTCCAAAAAATGTGCAAGTTCAGTTAGGAACATTTCCAGGAATCCACATGTTGCAGATGTTCCTGCAATATCTAAGAGCTGCACATTTGCCAGGTTGTGTTCCTACAGCTATTGCAGATTTCCCTCTCCAAACTTTATAGCGGGAGTCTTCACGTTTTCTTCAGCATACGTCGGGACTGCCACGTGTGGAACTTATTGTAGGCTGTCTGCAACATCTCTTCTATATGATTTATCAACTGAAAGATAAAACAAAGGGATCTTCCCAGTATCTGAGAAACGTGTGCCCTTACTCTGATCAAACCTAAATGGGATTGATTGTCGTTTCTCTCAGTATGAGGAATCAGGAGTAACCACTAAAGCCTAGGGAGTTGCATCAAGGTATGTGATGTGAGAGGAGAATTGGCCACAATTGTTTCAATTACAAAATGTCTTGAAGTTTTATTAGTCAAGTATGGCAGAGTATCAGTAAAGACAGTGGATATGCAGTTAGCTAGTTCAAGGGAAACTATGTGGATGACTTATGTTCAAGTGCTGTACTTAAAAGCACTTTCAATAGTCACTGGAAACTAGCTAAACAGGCCATTCATCCAATCATTGAGAAATCAGACTTGCAAGATGATAAAAGGAGAAAATTATTCCAGAATGTAATACCCCTACATCCTTTTCTCCATCAGCTATCGTTGTTGTTTTTTTTTTTTGGGGTGGGGTGGGGGGGAGAGGGTGAAGGGACAGGGACGGGCAAGAAGATGAGAGAAACACACTTTTAAGAAGAATTAAGCATTATACATATAGTTAACAGAACAAATTAAAAACCCCAAATACAGGAGACCAAAATCTGCCATCCTGTGATAAATATGACAGGTTTCAGAGTAGCAGCTGTGCTAGTCTGTATCTGCAAAAAACAGGAGTACTTGTGGCACCTTAGAGACTAACAAATTTATTAGAGCATAAGCTTGAAGTGGGCTGTAGCC